TTGGTGTCGATCATTCGATTTCATCCTGGACACTACAGAAAATGGGCTAAAAGTGTTAAAAACCGGAATTCTCCTTTAAAGGTCAATTTAGACCTGTTGACTTCAGAAATCTTTCTTCTAAAAAATGTATTTATTGACCACTAGATGGCCTCACTGAGCATTTGATGCAGAATTGAACTTTTGCTAAAAAGGTTTAATAAACCATCACCTCTCAACAGAGGTGTCAAAAGTATTCATGTTTATTACTTAAGTAGAATGATTTTGGTTTGTGGTAAGCAATAAGTTGGGGCAGCACCCAGTCCAATGACAAAGAATTTAATCGTCTGGATAAAACTAATTATTTTGATGGTTTTTATTTTTTTAAATACCAACAGGCCATAATGAAAAGGAGCTTAAATGGAGTCTATTTTAAAATGTAAGGAGTAGAAGCATAAAGTTTTCTAGAAAAAAACATAATTACTCCAGTAAGTTAAGATAGCCAACATTTCCACTTAAGTAACAAAGTATTTGTATTTTATTACTTTACACCTCTGTTAGACTTATCCATATTATGGATTTTGTAGGCTTTGAATATTAATATAAATACAGCTATAAACATTATCCATATAAATAACTGCTGGAAATGTTATTGATTTTGTGTTAGCTAAAAAAAAAAAGAAGAAAAAAAAGCGTTTTATCGATTTAGATCCATCAACTGATCCATCTTAGAACTTCAGTTTTTTTTTGTTTGTTTTTTCCTTTAATTTACACTTTCTTAAATTCTTTTATTGTGGAAATATTTAGTGCTAGCTAGGGCTGCTACTAACGGTTTTGCAGATTGACTATTATAGCCAAATATTCCTTAAAGAAAACTTTTTGCAAAATCAAATCAGGTAAAACTGAAACTTTTTCATTTAAGGGTATCTGAGTAGAGATGATTGACAGATGAAAAAGTTTATCTTAAATGCAAAATACAAAATTTTAAATTTTTACTACTCTAAGTGGGTCGCTCTGTCAGCTAGAGGCATGTTTAATTGTCTCTATACTCCAGTTAACGATGAATCAACTACTAAATTAGTTGGCGATTATTTCAATAATCTATTAATCAATTAATCCGATTCATTGTCTCAGCCCTAGTGCTAGGAAAAGCAGCTCTTTTATTTTGATGAAATTAGTCCTGAAAGTTCTTAAAAGCCCATTGAATATGATGTTAACCAAAGTGTTGGAACCCTGAATGTCAAAACAGTAAACTTAAAAATAAGAAAACATGATGGCGGTTTATATTCCGCTAGATTTGAGGAAATAAGATACATTTGATTGATGCACTGGTCTCTAGTTGTGAATGGTGCTGCTCCCTGGTTACTCCCTGGGTCAGGATCCTGTACCATCTCAAATGGTTAAGTAGATTTTATTGGACGTTTCATGTTAAAATAACCTTTATAAGGATGCATGGCTGAAGCAGCGGTTTCCCAGTAGCACACTGCCTCCAGAGGCCTGCTGCTTCTAGGTGCCATGTTCCTCTCAGCTGAGGGATGAATGCCCAAAAGGAACAAACCGATCATCAGATGAGCTCAGGTCCTTTTATAGCTCCGCTTCTGATAGCTGCTTCCTTAACGCGGGACGGTGAGACTGAAGTTTCCTCTGCCCTCGAACGCAGTCATCCTTAACCTCCATTTATGTTTCAGGTATTTCCAGCCCCTCCAGCTGTTTGTCGGGATGACGGTCGTCACCGTGCTCTTCCTGGGCTTCGTCTGGGCAGCAGAGAACAAAGCTCCCATCCGCCGTTTCCGTAGAAACCACCCGTTAGTCACCGTGCTCGCCATTCTCTTGGCCAGTTACGTCTTCGTGTCACTGCTGGGAGGAGTGGCCGTGTTCCTGTTTGGGATAGCCTTCCCAGTGCTGAGTAAGAGCAAACACTCTGCCTTTCATCTCACATAGGATGAAGACTAAGACCCAGAAATTTAGAAACAAAAATACATGTTTTTGATTTAAATTGCTTAAAGTTTTTTTACAATTCTGTTTTTGTTCCATTCCTGAAGCAGAGCTCTTCATTTGGACTGGAGATTAATTTACTGTAAATCCTCTAATATAGGCCCGGGCCTTTATTTCACTCACGTGCATCGCGGTCCAGGCCTTTATTGGAAAGAGG